AGTGCGAGCAAAAGCGTGGCATCCTTGCATTCTGATCCTTGTCATTGTGACGGCGGCGGCGGCGGCGGCGGCGGCGGTGGTGGTGGTGGTGGCAGCAGTATAGTCGTGCTCGCCGACTTCGCGGGCATGTCGTCGCAGCGCCACCGCCGCCGCCCTGGCCATAGCACTTGTCGTCAACATCACCCTAATCGAAATCGTTAGGAATATCATTGGCATTGCGTTTGGCTCCTGCTATGATGCTTCTTGTCCTTGTTGCTCGTGCACCAGCTTTCTTCTGCTTATTTTTGCTGGTCCTGTTGCAGCAGTCATGGGTTCAAAGCGCATTCCACGCGGGTTTCATCTTGCAGCATACGAGTGATTACATGACCTGCGGGCCCACGGTCTAGGCCCTGGATGTTTCTGTCATGCCTCGAAGAAGATAGGATATCTTTTATCGCGCTTGCCCATTTTCTGCGTGCAAGGGTGCTGTTCCTGGTTTCCTGCACCCACTATTGGCCATGAATCCCATTCAGCCGATACAATTCCAGAACTTCAAGGCCAGCTGTCTGGGTTTTGGGGTTTACAAGGTTAAGGGTTTAGGGGGCGTTCGGTATGGTTAACTTTAGGTGCATAAGGTGTAGACATATATGTATAGACAGATGCTAAACGGGATCATAGACGACTCTCACAGATGTAAACTGAAGTCGATGCTAAGAATCTGCGAGGGGTTTCTGCATAAAGTGATGGATATCATTCTGAGATGTTTGTTGGCTCCATGAAGGTACACCTGATTGGGGATATTAGTAGTGAACGCATGTAAGATGGTGGTTTGCACTTGCATGCAATATTCTCTCACAATCAGAATGCAGTCCTCACTAGGTACATGCAGGCCGCCTGTTGCGGATGGCAGAAATTTTGCACCACCTATTATACCGAATACCCCCAAAACACCTGTACGTTGGGGATCTTAAATGGTGCATAATTTCCTCCATCCACTGTATTGAGGAGCTGTGGGTGATTTTGGGAACAGGTGCAACTGCATCCACCCTGCACCGTGAAGAACACGTTCCTCGTTGGCACAGTGTTAGGGTTCAGGGCTTATAACCTCAAACCCGAAATCCTAAACACCTATACCTCTTTTGGGAAGAGACTACAGCATTTCGGCCTTTCATAGTCTTCTGCCGTTTGGTCAGCTTTGTGTATTGACTGCTGAGGTTCTTAAATGTTCCAGAGGACAACGTCTCCAGCGATGACGAGCTGTACACCCCTTTTGAGAGGCAGGGGCTTCTTGGGGCGTAGGGTTTTAGGATTTGAGGGTTTAGGGTTTAGGGTTTATGGTTCATTGTTTTGGAGTTTTAGGGTTTCCGGCTTAGCGTTTAGGGTTTTAGAGTGTGGGGTTTAGGGTTTCAGGGGTTTAGGCTTTTGGGGTTTAGGGCTTTAGGGTTTAGGGTCATAAAGTCCCTTGTAAGGACTTCGCCAAATCCCTTTGTGATCCTGACAGTTTCTAGAAATAGTGGGCCTTGTATAACGGTATAACCCTAAACTGCATATCCCTCTTTCTGGCCCGGTGCGAACCCTATATATCCCCGTATAGGGTAGGATTCTCATGTATGCCCCCCCAAACTGGTCACCATATATTTACGCTCGCTAATGTTCCAAGGGAACCCCGTATACATGCACCAAGAACCATTGTACAATCCTACTTCATATATCCTTAGATTACAAACCTAAACCCTAAACCCAAAAACCCTAAACCCTAAACCCCACACCCAAAAATCCTATATGTCCCCATTACCTCCAGGTGCAACATGTCTGCACCTCCAGTTCTTCAGGACTGTGGTTGGCTTGGTTTATGTTGTCTTTCCCGGTGTTCTGGGCTTAGGGGTTTAGAGTTTAAGGGTTTAGGGGTTTAGGGTTTGAGGGTTTGAGGGTTTAGGGGTTTAGGGTTGAGGGTTTAGTGTGGGGTTTAGGGTCTAGGGTGTAGGCTTTAGCATTTGGAGTTTAGGGCTCAGGGATCTACATTGGTTTCTTATTGGGGTGATCTTCACGATCACTTTCATTTTCAACTGTTGGATAATCTTCACAGCAAGAACCCTAAACCTTGGGTACTGCCCCCCCTCAAGTAACAGTTGGATAATAAGTATAATATGGTTATATATAGCCCTTAATAGGACCCGTAATATAGACTGTTACTTGGGGGGCAGTACCCAACCTAAACCCTAAACCCTGAACCCGTTTTCTGTTCCTTAAAGGTGTGCTTCCAACAGTCACCCAGTACAGGACCCAGCCTACGTGCAGGCTGACAGCACAGCAGCGGCTTAGCTGAAACTTTGTAATCCCTTGCCCTTATTTCAAAGCCCCACTCCCTAATGTCAAAAGTTTCCATTGTTGTATGTTACATATATATATATACATATCTATGTGCTACGGTCTAAACTCCCTCAAAGGGGTTTACATAGGGGACTACTATAAGGGTTATTAAGGGGGATACTAGGAGTTGAGACTATAGCTCACACACACATATATATATATATATGTATATATATCCCTGTATAGGGGCCTGTGGAGGTGAGGATAGCCTGCAACATGAGATCGCGGCCGACATGCAGAACCCTCATGCAAAGCCTCCAGAAGGGATCTCTACCCTGAACCCTAAACCCTAAAGGTTTAGAATTAAAAGCCAGTAGCTGAGTCACCTTGCATCAAGGCTTGCAACTACTACATGCGATTGCCCGGGCCATGTCCATCCATTTTCCAGCTTTCGTTTCCAGAAGGCTTCAATGAGTCTTGGCTTGCACTCCCGTGGGCTGGTGAGGGTTTAGGGTTCAGGGTCTGGGAGGATTTAGGGTTCCTGACCCTAAGCCCTAAGTGGTACACCCCAAACCCGCTTGACTCTTTGTTAGTCGCACCTTGCACGTAGCCGAGGAGGACGAGCAGCGTCTGCTCAGGCCTTTGGAAAGCTGACGCTGTAGTTTGCAAACATGGAGGGGTTTCCAGTTCTGGTTCGGGGGGGCGCATGGAAGGAATCCACATACTTGCACCGCTTTTTGGGGTCCTTGGTTCTCGGAATAATGCTGGGGTTGGGAAAGTTGCTGATTTGCTTAGATTCCATCTTCCCAAATGGCGGGCAGCACTGGCTCCTTAAATTATTGTTCCTTCTTTGGGGGTGCTGGACATTGAATTTAAGCTCTGCTTGGTTTGTGCCCAGTGCAGCAGCAGCACAAGACGACCGTGACCGCCAAGGCGCTTCATTGAAGGATTCCTGCACGCGACCCTGATTGAAGAAGCTGCTCATGGGGCCCTCCAAACTCACTCTTGCCATCCAGACACAAAGCTTGCACTCCTGTCAAACGCCATATTATGCTCCTGGATATGTTAGTGAAATCACAAACTAATCCCCATACAGTGGGGATGGGGACCCCTAGAATCCTTGCAGAATCCTCACATATCCGCAGTGTCCCTAAGGGCCCCTCTGCAATATCTGCAAAGTGCCTGCAGGATGCAGGAGCAGGCCAAGGCTGTTCAGCAGGACCCAGATTGATATGAGCATGTGGTTGAAGTTTCAGGGTCCGGGTAGTTTAGGAGGATTTCACCTAAGATTTGCGCTTGATTCACCTTGATTGAATTTAAGCAGGGTGTAATTGAGGGGGAGCCTTCAGGGGGAGGGAGGTGGTTCGGTAATCCATAAGGTTAGGGCTCACAGGGCAGGGTTCAGGGTTTGAGATCAAATCCAATCCTCCCCCAGGAGCACAGACTGCTGGGCAGGAATTTTGGAGAGGGGTTGCTTGTTTGGGTGGGGCGTTCGGGTTAGGGTTTAGAATTGCTTGGATCGTCGTGCTTAGCCGGTATCAATGCTGCTCTCCATCAGGCAGGGGTCTTTGCTTGCTTTGATCTGCGAAGTCAGGGCTACATGTTTCATGTGGGTGCAGGGCTTACGGCTTCGGGTTTCTAGGGTTCATGGCGGGCCTCAAGGGTTAGGGTTCAGGGCTCGGGTCCAGGGAAGCTTCAGGGAAGCTTCAGGCACTCTGTGCGACCTTAGGCCACAAGCCCCAGACCTACCCATGCTGAGTTGGGAATTATAGCAATCCTTATGTAATTATTCCCCATTCCCCGATTCCCCACAAAGCATGAGCATGGAGACTCCAAGCTCTGCAACCCCACCCTAAACCCTAAAGCCTAAACCAATCCTCAGCCCTGAGCCTGAAGCCGCTGTTAGTGGATGCCAACTGGCAAGGAGCTCAAGCAATCCAAAAACATCTCGCCGCTCACCATGCAAGAGCTTCCGGTGCAGTAGAGGGTCTACTATAGTATATTGGGGTTATACTGGAAAAGAAAATGGAAGCTACTATCAGATACTGAGGTTATTTTGGGAGAATGGAAAAGAAAATGGAAGCTACTATAGTGTATTGGGGTATTCTCGGGTCAATATAGTATTGGGGTTTGAGCTGGTTTAGGACTTACGCTTGGGCTTAGGGACTAAGGTTGCAGGCTTAGGCTTTGAGGCTTGGTTGGAACTGCAATTTGGGTGGTTGTCAAAATTATGGTCCCTTTTGGGTACCCTAAATATTAGGTGCCGTACTATACTAGGGATCCAAAAAGGGACCATAATTTTGACATCCACCCATTTGAGCAAATGCTGGGGTTCCCTGAAGACCTGTATGATCCTTATGTAACCTTTAGGGTTTAGGATTTAGGGAGGGATCGCCTTCCATTTTTGCCAGGACTACGAGTGCCAAGCATATCTCCAAGGCTATAATACAGACACTGCCGGTAATGATGATGCGAAGGTCGTCTAAATGAAGCCTACGCCCCCAAAAAGGAAGTAGGACTATACTTGAAACTTGAATTACGGTATACACTTGTAACCTCATGTATTTCTACTTTACTCATGAACCCTTTGTAATAGGAGGATTTCGGCACCCCGGCCCTATAAGAAGCCGCAAGGCACCAGGAACCTTGGGGCGCCCCAAGCAGGTGGGTTATAGCATAGCCCATAGCCCCCTAATAGTAAGGCTTGTGGTTTATGCACACAAGCTCTGAAACAGTCGCACAGCGCAAGCAGTGCGGCCTGTCCAACGGAAGGTTCGAGTGGTCCGACCCCCTTGTGGGGTGCACTGAAAGCGCCGTTCTAAGGCGGCAACCGTGTGGCAAAAATGCCGGCTCATGAAGCTCCGGAGTAAGCTACGACCCTCAAGTAACAGATCAGTAGAAACCCCGATCTGAACACCATCCAAAGGAAAACCAAAACCCCATGGTACTCCGGAGATCCTGTACACTCGCGAGACCTGCACACCAAATTGCTTGAAAAAGCGCAAAGTGAATCTCCGAAAAAGTCGCATCTGCTCTGCAACTGTTGGAGAAGGAGTGGGCAGTCGCGGATCGATCCCATTATCCAGACCCCAAACACTACAATCCCAAATCCACAACATAGCAATGAGCTCAAGCCACGACACCGAAAATGCAAGGTCGGAATTAGAGTCTTGTTCCAACAAGAATTGCACAAGCTTTTCAGTTCTCCGCCTCAGATGAGGAGCTGTGCCTCGCAACAGTTCTTCGCGCCATGTCAGAGGGAGAACTTCCTGAATGGTATCATGACGACAATGTCCGACAGGAAGGTCATTGTCATTGATATCCGCGGCGTCATACTCAAAGCTGACCTCAGGGTCGGAAGGCCCACTTCCGGCTGCATCAGCGATGCGAAGATACGTGACTCGAAGGGCTCGCAGGCACTTAGCTGTGTCATCATAATACTGCTGCGCACGCCTCCAGACCTGCTGAAACGGCCATGTCCGGTTTACGTTGGTTGTACCCGCAACTGTGTCAGCATGTGCGTTCCACTTGGCGACCCACTCCTCAAAGACATCAGAGCACTGTTCTGGGTCAAGGTGCGATGTAACATGCTGGACGCGGAGTTGCCCAACTTGGAGTTCACTAACCTGATCCCAGATGCGCTGCCAAAGGTCAAAGTTTTCGCGGGCTGGTGTGGGTGCGTCTCCCTGCAGCATAAGGTGTAGCCCTTCAGCTGACTTCAGAGAATCACACCAAATGACCCCACAAACAACAGAAACCCGAACCCAAGAAACGGCAGAAAGAACCCCGTACAACTCAGCCCTGGGTGCAGATTGATATATCCCTGGAAGATGGCCGGTGGCAACGACACAACCTGAGGAGGCATTTACAACGCTCCAGGCTGCAGCCGCAAGGTCAGGGGCCGCTGGCTGTGTACAGGCGCCGTCAGTAAACAGGTGTTGGACGCCAACGGACGGCCGGGACAGGAATTGTTGGGAACAATCCGAAGTTTGATGCAGCATAGCCCGAAGCTCTTTAGCAGCCTGGTTGGCAGGCGGGAGCAAATGCAGTTTGAGACAGGGAGGGAGCACATCCCATCTCGCAATGACAGCTTCCTGGCCCGCGCGAGCATGAGCAAACAGGGGGCCGGTGCTCCTTGTTGTCGGGCAGCTGACAGTGGGAACATAACCCTGACTGGGTCAGATCAAACTTGGCCTGGGCCTCACCGAACATAAGGGCCCCGCTCTGGAGGGCGGCGACCCGGGCCGCCTCAGTCGGGCTGAGGTGTTGCTGGTCGAGTCTTGCCAGGCCGGGGTCCAGCCCGTTCAGCCCCGCCATACTGGGGCGGTGCGCATGTGCGCACGCAAGGCTGTTAAGCCAAGCCCGCTCTGCCAAACGACGAAGGGCCGGGAGAGGGATGAGCAGCAAGTCGTGTGAAAGATCTTCTTCATCAATTATCATGGGTGGACGGCCAACCCTCCAACCGATCCCCCCAAGCACAGCAACCAACTTAGAAAATGGACCATGCAAAAGCCGTCCATCAAACCTTTGCATAAAGTCAGTCCACAGAACGAGAAGCCTGGGCTGCTTGCTGCAGAGCCTACGTGCAGTCGTGAGACAGTTCCAACACTGATAAAAGCCCGGATCTGCCGTGGGCGGGGAGCACAGGGATAGACGAAGGGCCGGGCTCGCCCCGGCGGGTGCTGACTTGAGTGCACGGACAGCCTGCGTCCGAAGGGACTGCAAGAGAGAGTCCGAGATGGGGCAGGCGGAAATGCCGTGCAAAGCAAAACTCCAGAACTTGATGGGCAAGGCCGAGAGCTTGACGTGCCAGGATGCTTTCGAGCGTTGCAGGGCCGCAAACAGAGGTGGCAGGCTTTTGCATTTCTGCACAAGGGGCCTGTTGCGAGTGGCAGGACCGAAGGAGAGCGTCCCTCCCAACTCCACACAGGATTCCAGAACGGGCACATGCATCTCTCGAAGGATGCGACGCTGTCCGGCCGTGGTGGCCCACGCGTAGGTTTTGCTTTCATCGAGCTTGAGAGCAAGGGCCTCGCAAAGGCATCGGGTGGTATTAAGGCCAATTGCAACATCAAAGGCGCCTTTGCCAATCCCCAGTAAGTTGTCAACGTAGCTGAGGCTTTCAACCGAGGGCGCGAATGCTCTCATATACTCGTGGTATAGAAAACTACAGACGCTCATTGCAACAGTGCTGAGCGGACATCCCTCTGCAAATCCACAACTGGAAAGGACTGGCTCGCTGATGGCCCCCTGGACTACAAAGCGTCGCTGCATGCCGTGAACAAAAGCACGCCACGGATCCAAAATGTTGTTGGGAAGTCCCAGGAATCCAGCTGCGAAAAGCGGAGCGCGAGGCAAATTATTGAAAGCCCGAACAAGGTCAGTGCCGTAACCAGCAAGTGGCTGGTCTGCTTGAAGCGCGCGCTCAACCAGACCTTCAATGAGAAACCATGCCTCAGATGCCTCGTGGTGCGGCATGAATCCCAGGGCTCCTTCGGGACTAAAATCCCGCAACCGCTGCAAGATTTGGCGGGCCCTGATGCCGGCCCAGCAGCGGTAGACAACGCTGAACACACAGATCGGCCGGAAGCCCTGAACATTCTCGCAGCCATTGCGCTTGTGCAAGGCGTTGACAAGCCCAACTTGAAGCTGAGTGGGCCAGGGGGCGCCATTCTCGATATCGTGGAGCATGAAAAGGAGCTCCTCTGTGCGCGCGTGGCATGCAGATCAAATCATCTCTTGCATAGCCATCCGGTCCTCGGGCCGCCCGCGTCTTGAACCTCCGGAGTGCGGCCTGCCACTGGACGGTGGAAATTGGAAGAAGAACCAGCGGGCGCTGGGGCAGATATGCGCGAGAGAACTGAAGAATTCGTTGCCATTGTTCGTCAGAACTAGGCTTGTTCCAACGTTGCGACCAAAATTGAACAAACTCAGCATGCACGTCCTCAGCAGAGGAAACGAATTGAAGTTGCTCAAGCTCACTATCAACAGAAAGGGGAACGTTGCCTGCGACACGGCAGACCTCAGGAGAAACCTCAGAGACCTCAACGATATGGCCATCCAGCCGCCACTCAGAATGTCCGGCGAGCTGGAGGGGTCGAGCAATGTGCAGCAGGCGGTCCTGGGAGTCCACAGCCAGGACTTCGTACGCCTGAGAGTTGACAAGAACATCGACAGGCTTGCCACCCTCAGCTCGCAATTCTTGAAAGAGTCTCTGTTTGGACTCATCATGCTTGGCGGTCAGAATCTTGCCGCGTTGTGAGATGTGCCAACTTTCAAAGCGACGGAAATTGTCGCGAAAATCCAGAAAGATGGCATGCGCAGAGCTGGGGTCCGGGACATTCATTGGCAATGCAGCGGGGCTGCCCTGTTGTGAGTCTGGGGCGTGTTGGCCACCATGCTGCAAAACCGTTCCTAAAACCTTGGGCATCCAAAATACTGCGCCAAAGGCAGCCACGATATTCGAGTGCATTGAGGTCGTAACGAGGTCTCTGAAGAGCTTGCCACAGGGATTGGAGGCGGCGAAGTTGCTTGTGCCAGTGACGTACTTCCAAGGAGAGCAAATCACTTTTTAGAATTTCATCGCCAGCACGGCTCGCCTTTGGAATGGAGATGGCAACTGGCTTTTGGACAGGCTCCGTGAAGCGGGCGCGCCCGAAGCATCCTGCTGGAAGCTGCCGCCCGGGACAGTCAACATGGCCATTTAAACTCTGCTCAAACATTTGCGCATGCTTATGAAACCGGTGAGTGGTATCTAAATACGGCGGAAGCGGTGCATGCGGCTGCCCATTAAGGCCATCCAATGCAATGCAACTCCATGGTATTTCCGCAGGGCGCGGCCAACACCTGATCACACCAGCATTGGAAGCAATTCGAAGTTTGGCAGAAATGGTCGAGTGTTCTTGAAAAATGTCTGTAACAGAACTGTCGATGCACAATGCGGCGGCTTCCGGTGACAGGTACAGGAAGTCACGCCTGGTAGCATCCTTACAAGTCGCGCACGGGACACGCCCCCATCTTTGCCAAGCCAACTCTTGGAGCTCCAGCCAGCCTTGCTGTCGCCAAATTTGAACCTGAAGCAAAGCGGACTCGTCCGCACTCAGATCACCACACACAATGCGGGGGCCAGCGCGGCCCAAGACAACCTCTTTTGTGACTGGCTCCAAAAGAGCGTCAGTCGCGGCAGCTGCTTGGAGATGGCTACGGCTGTAGCCGTACACGTTGGCAAAGAGCAAAGGGCAGCCCTGAGCTAAGACCTGGGCGATCTGAACCCGTGCCGTCTCAAACATTCCGCGTGGCCAAGGAATACGGACAGGATGGAGTGGCCAGTCGGCTGTGAGCAAAACTCCGGACCAACTGCCCGCCCATTCACTATGAGCTCGCAAGGGAGCAGGTGCCCCGGAAGCGACCCGCAGGTTACGCCCTTGGCGTCTGCAAAGAGCTCGGAGTTGCGCGTCAACCTGAGGCAGTGTTACTGCCGACAGCTGGGTCTCGCTGAAACAGTGCACCCCTACCCCCATTTCAGCAGCATGAAGCTCCTTCCCACGCAATCCTGAGGGATTACTCGTGGAGATCCAGAAGTCAAATGATGGCCCTGGGTGCTGCGCTTCCCCGAAGCGACATGCTCCAGCAGAGCAGGGGAAAGCATTGGCAGGCAGAAGGCACATGAAGTAAAGAACGATATGAAAGGGCGACCGACCACCCTTGCCAAGTGCAGATACGTGAGCACTCGCAGTTGTTGCAGTGCAGGCGGCAAAGAATGCGAGCACAAGAAAGACCCGACTGACCCCCAATCGGGCTAAGGAAACAAAGGACTGCAGGCCACACGCCAGCAGACAGACGGCGACAAGGGCAAGGACACTGAGATCCAGCCTGCACCCACCCCCTAGGGCGCAGCTGGGCAGCCCTAGTCACTCGGAACGCTGTTTCTTCGACAAGAGGGCCTCGAGCTGGCTGCTTTGCTGTTGAAACTGCTGTTGCATCTGCGCGGCGAGTTCGGCAGACAAGGTGCTAACTGCAGCCTGAACAGTAGAGGGCAAAGTTTCAGCTTGCCGCTTAACCTCACTGCTAAGCTGGGCAACATCACTGGCCTGTCTTTGAATGGACTGCTGAAGGACCTCAACCTGGTTGCTGGACTCAGAAACCTTCTGGCCGAAAGTCTGGAACCAGCTTTCGAACTTGGTGTTCTGGGCTTTGAGTTCCTGGAAACCGGACTCAAGCTTGCGAAGACGTGCCTCGGAAGCCTCCGCCTGCTGCGAGGTTGCCTGCTCAGAAGTGGTGAGATGCTGCTGCACGAGGTCTTTCATACCCTGCGATAGCTCCTCTCTCAATTGGCTGATTTTCGTCTGGGAACCTGCGCTGGACGGCATCTGCGGAGGAGGAAGGCCAGGGCGGCTTGGCGAGTGACCACGGATCTCGCCCCCCTGACCAAGGGTCAGAGCTGGCGCTGGCAGTGGCTTCTTCGCCATCATCATAAAGGATCTGGCGTTTTGTTCGGCCAGAGGCAGTGAGTCCCGCTGGCGGGGCGGTGGCGGACGTGTCTTTGACTTTGCGCACCAACACAAAAGTGCCACCACATGGAATGGCTGGTCCAGGAGGGTCTTCAAAGGCACCCACAAGCCAAGCAGCACCCTCAGCATCTCCTCTAGAAGGTGGAAGGGGCTTTGCGTCCCAAGACCAGGACTTGAGCATGCCTTGAAGGTGCTTGCGCTGGCACCCGAAAGGCAAAGGGTGCAGGCGCCAGTGCGCCACAATCCTAACTTTGTGGAAGTCACTCCCTGGCCTGATCACCTGATGTACAGCATGCTCATCAGCCTCGCGGCAGCGGATGCCGTAGCGCTTGCCAAGGCGCGTCAGCGCGACGGCTTGGGTGCACGTGCGGACTAAATGCAAAGCATGTGGATAGTCTGTCTCCGGAAGCCAGATTACGGCGAAGCCGGCGTGAGGAGCTGTCCCTCCAGGTGCACGGGGCTCAGAGTAAAAACCCCGAATGGCAAGCTGATGCAGATGCTTGACAGCCGACGCTGGCACTCGAGCCATGCAAGCAAACACTTGGGCATCTGCCGGAGCGGCACGGCCACCCTCAAGCTTAAGCCACTGCCGACCCCAGAGGTCGAGGAGGAGGCGATCAATGCAGCCGGATTCTTCCACCGAAGCGTGGAACTTGCCACAGGACTGGCTGCAAGAACCGTCTTTGCACAAGGAGAGGCCTGGGTTGCCCGAAACAAGGGAGCGGACCGGGGCAGTGATGAATGAATCCCAGTCAAGGGCAATCTCATCCCTAAACACAGTGAGGCAGGCGCTTGGCTGCAAGCTGCACG